CCCACATTCAACACTGCTCACCTTTACTACTTCCTTCACCACCCACTACGTCGTAGACCTGTTCCCTCTTTTCCCATAGCATTTTAGGATTGCAGATACATTAATGTAATTGCCAAAGACAGTTCCCACACTCTGCATTGCTAGCCTTACTAATTGCTTCACCATTTCCTACGTCATAGACCTGTTTCCTTCCTTTCTCATTACATTTAAGATTGCAGATACATTTATCTAACTGCCCAAACGGTTCCCCACTCTGCACTGCCAGCCTTTAATACTTCCTTCACCACGTCCTCCGTCGTGGGTCCTGTTTCCTTCCCTTCTCATCGCATTTTAGGATTGAAGATACATTAATCTAACTGCCACAGACGATTCTCACACTATGCTCATACTTTACTATTTCCTAAGCCACTTCCTACGTCGTGGACCTTTTTTCATCACTTGCCATATCATTTTAGTATTTTAAATACGTTAATCTAATTGCCACAAACATTCCCCACACTCCGCACTGCTACCCTTTACTACTTCTTTCTCCATTTCCTATGTCGTGGGCATGCTTCCATCCCTTCTCATGGCATTTCAGCTTTGCAGATACAAATGGTTTCCAGTTCCCACATTCCACACTGCTCACCTTACTACTTCCTTCATCTCTTCCTACGTCGTGAACCTGTTTCCCTCTCTTCCCATAGCATTTTAGGATTGCAGATACCTTAATCTAATCGTCATAAACAGTTTCCACACGCCGGACAGCTCGCCTTGACTACTTCCTTCACCACTTCCTACGTCACGGACCTGTTTTCCTCCCTTCCCATAGCATTTTAGGATTGCAGATACCGTAATCTAATCGTCACAAACAGTTCCCACAGTCCGGACTGCTTGCATTTACTACTTCCTTCACCACTTCCTACGTCACGGACCTGTTTCCCTCCCTTCCCATAGCATCATAGGATTGCAGATACCTTAATCTAATCGTCATAAACTGTTCCCACACTCCGGACAGCTCGCCTTGACTACTTCCTTCACCACTTCCTACATCGCGGACCTGCTTTTCTCCCTTCCCATAGAATTTTTGGATTGCAGATACCTTAATCTAATCGTCATAAACAGTTCCCACACTCCGGACAGCTCGCCTCGACTACTTACTTCACCAATTCCTACGTCACGTACCTGTTTCCCTCCCCTCCCATAGCATCATAGGATTGCAAATACCTTAATCTTATGTTCATAAACAGTTCCCACGTCCCGAACAGCTCGCCTTTACTACTTCCTGCACCACTTCCCACGTCACGGACCTGTTTCCTTCCATTCCAAAAGCATTTTAGGATTGCAGATGTCTCAAACTAATCGTCACAAACAGTTCCCACAGTACGGACTGCTTGCCTTTACTACTTCCTTCACCACTTCCCACGTCACGGACCTGTTTTCATCCCTTCCCATAGCATTTTAGGATTGCAGATACCTTAATCTAATCGTCACAAAAAGTTCCCACAGTCCGGACTGCTTCCCTTTACTACTTCCTTCACCACTTCCTACGTCACGGACCTGTTTCCCTCCCTTCCCATAATATCATAGGATTGCAAATACCTTAATCTATTGGTCATAAACAGATCCCACGCCCCGGACAGCTCGCCTCTACTACTTCCTTTACCACTTCCTACGTCGTGGACCTGTTTCCTTCCCTTCCAATAGCATTTTAGGATTGCAGATGCCTCAATCTAATCATCATAAACAGTTCCCACACTCCGGACAGCTCGCCTTGACTACTTCCTTCACTACTTCCTACATCGTGGACCTGTTTTCGTCCCTTTCCATAGAATTTTAGGAATGCAGATACCTTAATCTAATCGTCATAAACAGTTTCCACACTCCATACTGCTACCTTTACTACTTCCTGCACCACTTCCTAGGTCACGGACCCAAGCTAGTGTCGTCATTTGATTATATGTATTATCCATACCGTTTCTGTCCTAATATCTGTGGAATAATGCTATCAGCTATTTCCTTATTTACTGCATTCAAAAGTCAACAGCTGATCATATGTCTTTGTGTATGTGTCAAATACTGCTTCCATAAGGATTACATTGAAACTTTGAGACCCAGTGGGGCGGATTCCTGAGAGACTATTTTAACGCCATATAGATGTTGGCACTCACCGATATGGTCTTTATCACCATGCAAAATTTCAAAACGATTGATTCAGCCGTCTAGGAGGAGTTTGCGTATTACGAAATGCACAAGAGTCGACGTATAAGAGCTTCGCTCGCTTCGCTCGCTCCGCTCAATTATAAATTAGTTAAGATGGGGACGCCACCAAGGTGTGTATTTCATGGGATGGATGTAGAATTTTGTAAGATGGCATGTGTATCCAGCTGTTAAATCAGTCAGGATCATATATTCAAAGTTTAATTATCATGGACAGCTAGGTATTTAAAGATTTTTTTCCCCGGAACAGGTTTTAATACATTGATGTCCATCCACAGATGACAATGTAAAAGCAACATATCCTTCTTGTGTAAATCACCTTTGTTATGACTAACGAATACACGTTGTAATTAAAGTAACGAACACAGATAACAAAAGGAGGAGGGGTGTTGATGGTCAGATAACAACCACCAGAACCAATCATGCAACCACAACCCTACAACCCTTAGTGCTTAGTACTACAATAACGATCATATTGGATGGTAACATACGTTATAGACCACCTAAAACATTCGGTTTACCAATATACAGAATCAGTTACTGTTTAAATAATGTAATAATAACCTGATATACAAACAAATATGAGATTCATTGGTTGTGTAATACTAATACCAATAAGTAAAAAACAACACTGCAGTTCTGGTTTTAATCATACGAATCTGAGATAGAGACAAGCGCAAAAACATTGGTTACGGTTTTGCAGATTATTAACTAAAGTCAATGGTATTACATGGGAAATAGGGGAAAAACATAGAAAGTGAATCATATTTTCAAACTTCATTTAATAATGGCAAACTTAGCGTGACCTGTAGGTGAATGAAATAAAGCGGAAGATTTATTTTTTTGAAAAGGTTTTTACCATCAAGTAGCAGTGTTTACGTATTTTACAAGCCAGACAAATTTCGACATGATGAAAATGTGTACCTACACGATTCCCTTACACTCTTTTCTGAAAAAAATTTATTGTTCTTTCAAAATTAAATTACGATTGGCTTTTACGTCCATAAACTGCATAAAACCATTAATCCGTAAAACAAAGGTGTTGAACCAGGGTTTGTATATCTAAACTCAAGTTACGCACCATTGGCTGCTGAGAGGTTGTCCATGGCAACACAAGATACATGAAAGCAATGCTTTATTAAATGCATTCGAAGAATTCTGCTTTGTGTCCCCACGTAGATGCAATTTGAAACAAAATCACAATGGTTTTTAAAGTAACTGAATACTTTTCAAATTTTTATAATTAAAATTAATGAAAGAGAAATATTGTACTTGGTAAGTATGGTTTTTATGTTTACATGTATTAATAAAACCAGACATTAGTCTTTAAGAAATTAAATAGTAGAGATTGCTTTATATGTTTTTGCTGAAACTCTGATTTTAATCACTGGGTTAAAATTTCAAGTCCCAAAATGTATATTAATTTGTGTACATTAACATTTTAATATTTAATAAATTTTAAAACAACTCTATTAGTTTTAAGTATGCATAATATAATGTTTTTCTTATGTTCAATTACACACAACAATATGAGTTTTAAGGTCCAAATGCTTAGTTTGATCTTAGTCTAGCAAAAAAGTTGTTTAAATGCATGCCATTCCTTTGCAGCTTTGCCCATCTTTGTGTCTAATATAATGTTCTGAATCTAATTATCTTTCAATTTCCCTTTAATTGTTGATTTTTCAGTTCTAAACATGTGTAACTTTATAGTTTCCTGCACCATAAAGAATTGTGTTCCTATGTAAGCGAATATCATTCTATTAACAAGATGGGTGAACTGCATTCGATTTTAAACAAAAGACATTACTAAAAACGTTTACTCTTCTGTTCTCATACTAGACAATTTGGTTCAATGAGAGTTTATTATTTACGTGTACCAAGGACGGATAGGTACTACTTGTAGTTTTGTTTTGCATTTATACATAATTCTAAAAAAAATTAATGATTAGTTTGTTTTCTACATTTCTACAAAATATGAGCATGCAAAATTCTTAAAGATTCTATGTCTTGTCTTGTCTTTTTTCAACGGTTTTAGTCTCACACACCTTGGTCAATAACCTCCCCCTGTGATCGGTCAAGACCTTAACCTTCAAAATTGGATTGGGATTACTCCCCCACCCCTGAACCTTGCGTCCCCAACAGACCAATAAAGAGTGAGTTCATTTTGGCCCTTACTTCCTGTACGTGTTCCATCGAGGACTTCCTTAGACTTAATAAAATAGTGTACATTAATACAGCATGTTTAGTTCACTTACAAACTTACGTAAATATTTTAATTTAGTGATTTTTTGCAGAATAGTCTCGAAAAGGTTGACACTTATATGGTCTGCATTTATTTATTTATTTATTTATTTATTTATTCCATCGGGAAACCCATTACATTGAAACATTACAAAGAAATAACAATACAAATCAAAGCAAGATGTGATAAAAATCTACAAATAATTACAACAACAGCAACAACGTAATTGATACATTAGTCTAAATTCAACAGCAAAAAAAAAAATATGTACTATGAACAAGTAACAATATAACATCACCATATACCATTTATCAAACCATTAACAACAAATAAATATTTTCATACTTACAACAACAATAAATATATATATATAAATTTTTTTCTTTGATTATGCAACAATAACAACAAATAAATATTTCGAAAAGACAACAATATATAATCTGACTTTTGTTAAACTAATGAATACTGAATTGCAACAAAAAATATAATCTGACTTAAATACTAACAAAGGTACAGATTGTGTCTACATGCATTACGATTACAAACTACTGTCACTATGTCATTGTCGCAGGCTGTAGAGCTCGTCAGTTGCGACTCTTAGCAGGCTCCTCTTGACTGATGTGGAACTGTCAGCGAAAAAGTCGATGTGGTGTGAGGCTTTGTTCCCAAGTCTCTGGATCCTATTGAGGGTGCTGTTTGCATCATAGTTGGTGCTCACATGCCGTCTTCCAAAAAGGTCGGTAGATCTGGTTCCAGTACGACAGAGGAAACCAATCTGGCCTAGCAGCTCCGGACAGTCCACGAAACCATTCACCAGCTTGTGCAGAAACACTACTCCAGAAACATCTCTTCTGACTTCCAAGCTTTGAAGGTTGAACAATGGCTCGAGATCTCTAATAGGAACTTCTCTGAAGGCAAACCCCATCCGACAGCCAAGGAGACGTAAGAACCTGTCTTGGATGGTCTGAAGCTCCCGAACCAGGGTAATCTGATGCGGCGACCATACTACGCTGTTATATTCAAGCAGCGGACGTACAAGGGTGCAATAGAGTGTCCTAAGAGAGTTGAGGTCATCAAAGTCTCTGGAAGAACGTGCTAACAGGCCAAGAGATCTAGACGCTTTCGCACAGACGTTTTGGATATGTAAATTGGGTCTCAAATCCTGAGCAAGCATTACTCCAAGGTCACGGATACTCTCACAACGAGTCAGTGGAATGTTATCCAGTTTGTAGTCGAAGATGATGGCAGATTTAATTCTATGAAATGTAATACAGTTGCATTTCTTCACATTGAGTGACATGTTGTTTATCTGGCACCAATTCACAATAGCCTGGAGACTCTCCTGAAGCAACAGACAATCAGCCGGTGAGGTAATTTTTCCATACACCTTCAAATCATCTGCAAAAAGCAGACAGTCAGACCCAATAACCTCAACAATATCATTCACAAAGGTGTTAAAAAGATAAGGTCCCAAATGCGAGCCCTGGGGTACACCCGACGTCACTTCAAATTCAGTTGATAGGTGTCCAAAGAATCTAACTCTCAACTTACGGTTGGAAAGATAGGATCCGAACCAATCTAGGAGCTCTCCAATTATTCCATAAGCTTTTAATTTAGCCAGGAGATGGTGGTGGCTAACTCTATCAAACGCCTTAGAAAAATCAAGGTAGATAGCGTCTAATTGCTGGCGAGCATTGAACGCCTTAATTATTTCAGTTTCCATCACAGCCAATAGTGTCCTTTGTAGTATTACGACAATCGTACGTAAAAAATTAACAAATCTGATAAGACTAGCAACTAGGTACTTTGGTGTATGATGACTAAAAGCAACTTAAAAGAAAGGAATGTTTTACGCATACATGTTTTATTTTTTTTAAAAGCACACATACATAATCTTACCTCGGAATCGACATCTATTCCATTTGAAAGATGAATTGCCAACAATCATAAAATAATGGGACATATTATTAGGCCTATTTTAAAAGACTTGAAAATATTTTAAAACTGGAACGTTAGGCAAGAAAGAGAAAGCCTCTTTCTTGCCTAACGTTATAAAACACAGTATTGTTTTGCTTATAATTGATCTAGTTTTAAAATATTTTCAAGTCTTTTAAAATAGGCCTAATAATATGTCCCATTAGAATGAAAAAAAAAGTGTTGCGTTACTTTTTTCGAACTTAAAGTGTTGATGTTTATTTAATGATCGTATATAATTCATATAACCGACGAACAATTCATGTTACAAATTGTTGTATATTATAGGTCCTTATGACAGGTTTTAAGGCATGTTCATAAGCAAAAGAAAGAGTTTAACAACTTGAAAAAACTTGCTACTGTAATTAAAAACTTTAATTTTCAACACTATTATATTAATTAAAACCATCACGGTGTTCAAAATGAATAGTTTCTAAGTCCTAGGGATGGACGGACTTAAATTATTCTGAGATTAATGAAATTCCCGAAGAAATATATGGCATTCCTTTATAAAAATCTTTTCTTCAGTGCTGCATATGTCAACAATCTTTTCTATCACTCATTTTGAAATCGAATAAATATTCAGTTATGGCCACTGGATACAAAGAACATTATTATTTTTGTAGAATGATAATTTTAACCAAACTACTAGGTAGTACCAAGCATTGCAAAATTTTCAACTTCTAAATACTCATTTAACTTGAACAGCTATATTAATTAAGAAACTAGCGATAGAATAAAGTAATTAACATTATGAATATATAATCCAGCTTTGTATTATACTACACCTTGTTATTTGGGTAAAATTTCAAAATATTCATGATTATATCCACAAGAAATCAGACAACAAACAAAAATTTTTTACTGTACTAAAATTTGAGTTAATTTAAATTACTTGACCTTATGTAGGTAATTTATTACGTTGAAATACAATGAAATTAATAGGAAAACGCATGAAAATATCATAGTATTTTGAGTTTTTATTTTTAATAGGAAAGACTCAACGCTTCATACCCATCGACCAATGCTTTCCTTAACTTCCTCGTAGAAATTGAATTATTTGTTGCGTCTGATCTTTGGGCCGTCATAAGTTCCTTAAATAACCCCTTTTGTATCGGGCTCAATCAACTTGAGTTTATTGGTGCCGAACTAGAGTTGGTTGGGCAACTTTGTGTGAATAGTGAATTTAATTGATACGCAGTAAATTGTTAAAACAGTTAACGACTTCAGTTTAGCATTTTTGGGTATGTTGCTAGCTCAGTGATTAGTGTCTCGGACTTCGGAGGGGGGAGGGATGGTTTCGATTCACGGCACGTCCACAAAGCATTTGGGTTTTGAACCTCTTTCCCAAAAACCGTTTGTGTATCTGAATTGTGGATATTTATAGGCATGCACTGTGGATGCGATACTCCCTGGTGTGGATTAACGTCCGCACGAGTGAGTACTACGACTATCCGCAGTACTATCCTGATAATTAGACCAATTCGTATATACCAAGGAAAAATGTGGTTCGGATTCCACTATAAACTGTCGGTCCCTTAGTTGTCATTAGCTGTATGGGCTATCAATTAACAGCTGTGTCTAAGGAATGTCGGCCTTAGTCACTAACAAGACTATAAGATCACGCCACTCATCCTACACTTATCTCCATTCATACTTGGCTTAAAATACCTACTATGTATGGTCGCCATTTCATTGAACAGTATTAACAGTATGAACAGTTTTAACAGTATTAACAGTATACCTCCATAAAAAATACCACAGGCATTAAAATAAAAAAAATTATTTAAAAAAAATAGTTTTCATTATTATTTAATGATGTTTTTAAAAGGGAAGTCCCTACTTTTATCGTTTACTAAACAATGTTAAAAATATACACCCTAACTAATAGATATTTTATATGTATACCTTTTTATCTAAATACATGATAGAAAATCTTCATCTTTAGGAATCAATAGACAGTATTAAGTGAGGTTTATATCCGAAGTCCATGGTTAATTTTTTATAAGGACATTTTTACGTATTTAGCAAACTTTTTTGGTTAAATATATTTAAAATATTTTGTGGCTTTAATAGATCATTTTTATCTATTGAGTTTTCTTGACTTCTTTCCGTCATTATTGTTTTGTCATTACCTCTAAACCTAAGGAGTTGTAGCAAAAGGAGGGTAATTTATAGTGAGAGGTTTGTCTCAGGTGTCTCAGGGTCTCAGGTAGCAGTAGACCTGCCTATGTTAGATTCCGCACAAATGGGTCTCACAGCTTTGCTCAGTCATCCATGTTGTCCTTTGTGATATCCAGGCTGTCTCAAAATATCTGTTAGTGGACCACGTTCAATAAATCTCTGTTTATGTTACGGAATTTAAAGAGTATAATTGGTTTAATTTGTTTTGAAATTGTATTGTAATTAACTTACATAAAGATTATTTATTGCAGATTATTTCCTTGGATGCTGAGTAAGTAAAGGAATACCCCAAAATGTTCCCAATGATTTACAAAGTTAATTATCGAAGGATATCTTGCCATATTCTCAGCAGTGATGTAGTTGACCGAGTCAAAACTTTATGAAATGAGTCACTAGTCTCTCATACAGACGTGAGTGAGTTGTGAACTTGTATCTTTGAATTACTGCACTTGTACACTTGTACAAGTTAATTATCAAGTTTCGGTAGTGTTATTGTAACAATGTAAAAAAATGTCGTCCCATCTCTAAGTGAAGTTATTGATTATTTGACTTGAGTAAAGTTCAAAAGTTTAAAGTAATAGACTAGTACAAATACTGACTTTAAAAGTTGGGTAAAAGTACTAATGATTTTTTCCACGTGTAGGCCTAAACCTACATTTATTCGAACGATTTCACGAACCGGAAATAATCATGCTAATCGGTCAAGGGAAACGGGTGTTTTAGGGGGCAAAAATAGTTTTTTTCTAATTTTAGACCCTAAACCCATAAGACTTTGCAGTTTATTTATAAACCATTTAAACCTGATCAGGTTAAGTTCTTGGGATTGGTGCTCGATAGAAACCTGCGCTTTCATTCCCATATTGACACTGTGTGCAGAAGAATTCCTTCGGGAATCTTTCTTCTCCGCCAACTTTCTAAGTTTGCAAAATGTGATGTTCTAATTACAGCATATTATGGAGTGATTTCCCCGCACCTGATATATAATCAACATATCTCACGCAGTGCCGGTGTGGGGGTGTGAGTGTGGGAAAACGTCTTTCCTTTTCCGACTCCAGAAGAGGGCAGTTAGGGCAGTCTTTGGTTTGCAAAGAAGAAGAACATCTTGCAGGCAATACTTTATTTTATCACAAATTTTAACATTTCCCTCAATAAACATTTTGGAAACTTTGATTCTCATAAAAAAAACTTACACCAATACCAATCTTCACTTACACATTCCTATTCACTACGTAACAATTCTCATCTTAAATTGCCATCTCATTCAACTACATTTTTCAAGAGACACTTTCATTACAATGGCATTAAACTTTTTAATCTCCTCCCTCCCTCCCTTCAGCTGGAGTCGGACTTGAACAGCTTTAAAAAGCAAATCAAAAAATACTCTTGGCCAAGGGTTACTACAGTGTTCGAGATTGTGTCGCTGATGGTTTTTTTTTAGTTAGTTGGTTAGTTTTTTGTTGAAAGAAGTATAATTGGTATAGTTTTATTGAAGCACGCTATTAATTGACATGACCAATGCAAATTTTGTATTTGTTATTTTGGTTCAATAAATGAGTTATGAGTCATGAGTTATGAGTTGACATGCTCCTAAAGATTGGTGGAAAAAACTGTAAATTTGGAATTTCCATAAAGTTTTATGGGGAATAAGTAACTTAAACTGTTGTAGTTTGCTTGCTTATAAACATATTTTTATAACATTAGGATTTTTTTATTATTTCATACTAAAGTATATAAGTACATAAGAAACAAACTTGATTACCTTGTATCTATCAGCATATCTAAGTACTCGGTAAATTATGTTATTGAGATAGTGAATAAATACAAAATCTTTAATGAGATATTTTTGGGAAATTGAAAACTCAATTAGTCTGCAGGTTTGCTATGGCGGGGGTATTTATGGTTATCTCAAATTATCAAAATATGCCTAGAAAGGAATGAAAACGATATACAATTACTTCTGAACATATTGGAGTACTGTAGTTTGAAGTTTTTAAGGTAATCCTGAGCTTATAAAATTACATTTTTTATATTTATCTAGCAGAAACACCCTAATAGAAAGCTTAGCATCACAATATCATGGTAAAGTAGGTTGTTGAATCGCATTATGTTTGCAAGCTTTTGGTTATGTCAAGTCCAATCAAT